AATAACATAAGGATCTAAAAACTTAGTCGTTTCTGTATAAACGGCCAGACATCGATAATACCCGCTCTAAATTACCGATACACAGTTATTGGAGGCTTAAATGAAGATTTTTCTTTCGTAACGCGCAATTTAAAAAGGACAGTGGTATTTTTCCTCGCTGAGTCACTTTAATTGAATTTATTTCAGTTAAAGTATTCGACTAGAGTACCGTTTTTACCGTTCTCTTAATTAGTTTTGTCGTTGGTACTCTTGAGTACCTCATTTTCAATTGTATCTGTTAGTACTTTTGGTCCTAACAATCTACAGTTCATCACTTTTTGGTCATTGATTATTTTTTTGTTTCTAAGTATCATCGCATCTCGTTCCTTTTTGAAAAAAACTCCTTTTAAATGACTGGACAGTGTAAAAAAAGCCGTTGCCAACGTCCGGGTTGTCGTTATCTCGTTGAAAGCGGCATGCAGTGCGACGAGTGCGAAAGCTGGTACCACCAAGTTTGCACGAACTTAACGCCTGCGGCTTTCAAACGGTTCAGTAAGAAGGGTTGCGTATGGCTTTGTCAACAGTGCTGTTCGGATGCAAACAGCCTGTTAACCGAGGCCATCTCACTGGTTGATGCTGCAAAGAAGTGTTTTAGCAAGCGTAGTCGGAACGCGTCAAACAGCACTCAATCTGTCGACACGCAAATCGAAATGAAGCAAACTAAAGTTAGTTCGGTAATAGATTACTCACGCCGGTCAAAGAAGGAAAAGCAGTCTCCAAAGGGGCCTGCCTTAAACAAAAGCTCAAGGAAAGTAGGTTCTTCTGTTCCCCGTCTCCCAGATGGGATCCAACAGTAAATGCCTAAAAGCCGCAATCGCAAGGCTTGATCGGTTTCAAGCGGTAAACATAACCTGACCTCTCAGGTCGTCGACAACCTTCCAGAATCCAACATTAGGTTTGACGCAACTGTTGTTCCTTCTCCCAGCACCGTTGACGAGTGGGTACAGGTTGTATGGAAGAAAAAAAGTAGCGATATAAAAGGTAATCCTACCGCCGCGACAGTAGTCGTAAAATCGAAAGCTGATCATAGCGACAGATCAGTTATATTTTTAATAGAATTAAGGAGAGCGAGAGCTCTGAACCTAAAGCTCGTTTTGAGCATGAAATTGTGCTGATTAAGCAGCTGCTTAATCAACTCATGCCTCAACATATCACCGGGGTCACCTTGTTAAAACTGTACAGACTAGGGAGTCTAGCGGACTTGAAACCAAATCATTCCAGACTGCTTAAAGGAGTATTCAACTCTTCGAACGAACGTGACCTGATTTTACAGAATGGACACAAATTAAAGGGTTCAGGAGTCTTTATATGAAAGGACCTACCGTTGGCAGACCGTTTAAAAAGACGGGAAGCCGAAAAAGAACTACAACTTAGGTTAGACGCTGGCGAAAAGGGCCTAAAAGTTGTAAATTTTCGGGTTGCAAGGCTTTGACAGAGAATGATGCCGAAGCCAATCTGGGTGGAGCACAAAGCCACTTAAATAGGCTTCGGATCTGCTACACTAATGCCCGGAGCTTACTTAATAAGCGATCGGAACTAGGTGTACAGATTGACTCTACAAAGCCAGACATAATCGCAGTTACAGAAACCTAGCTGATGCAGTTTATAGATAGTATGGAACTTGATTTCGAGGGTTTTACGTTAGTAAGGGCCGACAGAATACAAAAGCGTAAAGGATGGGGAGTAGCTCTATTCATTAGGAATGCTATCCCATTTGCCATTATCAACAGTGTATCCCATGAAAGTGGGACTTGTGAATTAGTTAGTCTCCGCCTGAAATGCAAGGGACAAGAGCTGATGATTGGTTTGGCCCATCGCAGTCCAAGCTGTGAGGTAAATGAAGTCCTGCTAAGCAGTCTCAATACTTGGTCACAAAGTGGTCGATGTCTAATCCTGGGGGACTTTTATGCACTTATGGTAGACTGGAAAAATCAGCGAACTGAATCGTCAGAAAATTCCTTCGAGCACGAACTAGTTGATGCGGTTATCACATGTGCTTTAGTGCAACATGTGAAAGAAGCGACTAGGTACGACCCGCACGCTGAATCATCCTTACTAGATCTGATACTCACTCACTATCTGGATGACGTCGCGAACCTTCATTATATGCCAGCCCTAGGTAAAAGTGATCACGCGGTTTTAATTTTCGACTTCCATATAATTGTCAGTCTTGAGCACGCGTCAGCCCAATCCAGACCTAACGTCTGTAAAGCAAATATACCAGGTATCATGCACTCAGCATCGTTAGTAGATTGAACAATAGACCCGGAGTCCTCAGTTGAAACGGCTTGTGACGCATTTCGAAATTCATTCTTAAAAGTTACCACACCCCACATCCCTTGGACTACACCAAGGGGGCCGAGAAACTCCCCACCATGGTTCAGTAGGGAGGTTCGCATCCTTCTCCGTAAGAGAAAAAAAATGTGGGATAGATTTAGGTTACTGGGAACTGATGAAACTAAATCCCAGTATAGAAAAGTCCGGAATACCTGTGCCTCAACCCTCCGTAAGTCTAGAAAATTGTAAGAAGAAAAGATTGTTAAGGAATCCATAGAATGTCCTAAACGCTTGTATTCTTAAATAAACCAAAGGACAAAGAGAAGAGGAAATATTCCTGCTCTATGGGGAGACAGTACTGCCGCGTCACTGGTGGAGGACGACTTTGGTAAGGCTCAAGTGTTCTCAAACTACTTTAGCAATGTATATACCATAGAAGCACCCTTCTCATCGGCGCATACAGATCCCCCCACACATACACTGGATAGCGTGACCATTAAGGAACTCGATGTCTTTGGTCTGCTAAAGAAGCTTGACATAGGTAAATCCACGGGGCCCGATGAATTACATCCTAGGCTACTGAAGGAATTATCTGACTTCGTTGTGAACCTTTTAAGTATATGCTTTAATCTATCCGTAACGCAGTGTCGTTTACCCAAAGACTGGAAGAACGCCATAGTAAGTCCTGTCTTCAAAACAGGTACGAAACAAAAACCTGAGAATTACCCACCCGTTAGCCTAACTAGTGTGTTAAAATCTTGGAAGAGATTATTCGGAAGCAGTTGTTTAAGTACCTCGATGAAAACCGGATCCTTTCGGAGAAGCAGCATGGTTTCAGAATAAGTAACCCTTGTTTCAATAACTTATTAGTGGCTCGTGAAAACTGGTGCGCTCTTAAGGACCAAACGTTACCTGTAGACGTAGCCTTCATTGATTTCAGCAAAGCTTTTGACAAAGTTCCGCACAACCGGCTGTTATATGAGTTAAGAAATGTCTGGATTGGAGGCAATCTATTTATGTGGATAAAAGACTTCTTAGTTGGGCGTCGACAAAAAGTTCGGGTGAACTCAAAGTTATCTAGCTGGGGAACTGTGCTTAGTGGAGTGCCCCAGGGTACAGTTTTGGGGCCAGTGCTATTCCTCTTGTATGTAAATGACCTTCCTTGTCTCCTATCATCATCGGTCTTGCTATATGCTGACGATGTCAAGATATGGAGAACGATACGATGTAAGAGTGATAGCTTAGAACTTCAAAATGACCTGAAGAAGTTATCTGAATGGTCTCAAACATGGCAGTTGCCGATAAATACTTCCAAGTGAGTTGTGATGCATATCGGTCATCAAGGCACAGATACATACACGATGAATAACACTGAGCTACCTGTCGTCCAGACATATAATGACTTGGGAGTTATCGTTAGCCAAAACTTAAAGACTACTGCACACTGCCGTGCAATAGCCGCCAAAAGTTTTAGAACGTTACGGTCAATACGTAGGGCTTCTAGTCATGTCGACGCTAAGACGTTTTTGACTTTACATACAGTGTTTGTACGTCCTAAACTTGAGTACTGCATACAAGCGGCCAGCCCCTGCTAAAAAAAGACAGTAAGCCTCTGGAAAAGGTTTTGAGAACGGCAACTAAGCTGATTCCCGGAATAGCGAAGCTTCCGTATGAAGCTCGACTGGCCAAGCTGAACCTTTTCCCGTTGTCATATCGCAAAACTAGAGGCGACTTGATTACAGTTTTCAAAATGCTAAGTGCCAAGTTTGCACCTGATATGCCCTCATTTTTCTTGTCTTCCAAACCAGAGAATTTACGAGGACACTCCAAAAAAGTTCACAAGCCAAGAACAAATTACTTGTCAGCTGACTATCGACTTTCCCATCGAATCATCAACTAGTGGAACTCATTACCTCAGCACGTAGTTGAGGCTCCAACCGTCGATTCTTTCAAAGGAAAGTTGGATCAACTGAAAGATCACCATTGCCAGGACTAACACAGTTCATCAGGCTTCCTGTCCTTCCCAAGCTGAAACTGAAGCTGTAACCGAAAGCTCTGAGGAGAATGAACCTAGTTTACAGTATATAACTTGCCGTATTAGCCTCGGAAAACGTTTGTTTAGTTGAAACGTTTCAGAAGTCAAGGGTTTGTCTGTGATAAGAAAACCAGACTAATAGCTCTTTTACCTCACAGTAATTCACATGTTGTCGTATGTAAACAAATAATCAGTCATTAATTGAAAAAGAAAATGGAGCCAACAGCTAGGGAATTTTTATCCATTGCCAGAGTGATTTGCTCAAAACAAGACCCCGAATGATGTTTCTGAGACAATGGAACAGATATTTTACTTAATAAAGTCATAATTCTATTCAACCGGTTGACGAATAGTGTACATATTCACTATTAGAAATAATCATTACAAATCTTCACTTTGAAAGTCAATCACTACAAAAATCATGCCTGTATATTCTCGTTTTTTACTAGCTCACCACAAAATACTGTCTTTGTTTAGTGAGGTTTAGATACTTCATTATGTTACTTATAAGAGAACAAAATAACATTGTGATTTGGCGCCAAATACACAGAACTATGACTGAGGAACCAATACGTTCAGTACAATTAAAAAAGGAACGCTTAAATTCGTCTAAGATTAAGATTGAATATGAGAAAATGCCTGTACTCACCCAAGACATCAATATTAATAGCTTTTTGGGATTTTGGCCCGTGAGCACAAGACCAGTTACCCCTGTCCTCGAATTTAACGTTCGGTATGTAAATTTCATATACGTCGTTAAGTCTATTGCATATATAACGATGATTTTCTATATAAAATCGGCAGTTTTCTGCTATATCATTGCCGTTATGACTCCAAATAATTGGAAATATTTGGTTTTCAGAGGAACAAGATAATTTGAGATAAGATCCGGACAGGGTGACATTTGATGGCAGCGCGAAAAACTTTATTGTTTGATATAATGGTAGGAAAGTAACACATAGTAAGACAGAAGGGAAAAGCGTAAACATATTCAGGATTTGAAAACCCGCGGAATCGTTCTATTGCATAGTTTGATGGTTTAGTATCCAATATTTTTGGTAAGTGACCTGTGTAAAGTACACGATTTATTTACTCTGCTATACTGATCTTGAGATACGCCAAACGTCTTTTATTGCGTCAAAAAAAGTTATTGCAGTCACTCGAATATCCCAAACATAAGTTTTACTTTCGGTGCTGTTTTGAACTCGTTTGAATGTTCTTATTTCGGGATAATGATTTGACGGAACTAGTATCTACCAATTTGCGAAATAGAAGTTGTAGCATGAGAACATAAAGTGGCGGAGTGAAGTGGATCAATCGATGTAAATAAGTTGACTGATTAAACAAAAAGACAAAAAGATGAAAAAAGACGAAGAGGAGCGGCATAAATAAGTTCCAAAAGATTTACATCGCTTCTAAGGAGAAAGTGTGAGACGATCTCGTGAGCTCTCAGATGGTAATACGCCTTAAATATTGTTGAAAAGGCTCACAACTCAACATGAGTGGCTGTCTTTGGACGAAGTGGAGAATTACATATGCTTTGACTAGATCTCCCTGTTAGCTGGTATCCGAACTTTCTGGTAGCAAAATACTGGGTGTAACTCCTCCAGAGATAAAAAAAGACAATGGTATAAAATTAAGCGATCTGCTCTCTGTAATCCATTATGGAATCTTTTGCTATATATGTAGGCTGAAGTGGTTCAGTGTTCTTTTGAAACTCATGTGAATCGCCCTCACGTTTTACACTTTTTGCTGCTCTATTTTGACTGCATGAATGATAACTGATGAAAAGAAGTTTTTAATAGATTGTTGATAAACATGAAAAAAATTAATGTGTCAGTAATGCTCGTCGTGATACTCCAGACAGTGACATCCATTAGTTTGAATGCACGCCATTAATTTTAAATCATAAGCCTTGATCGTTTTGGTAGTTCTTTGAGTGAGAGAACAGTTGACGTTAGAACCCGATTCGCTCTATCTTAGCAAGCATAACGATGCGTGGGACTTCATCTATTGATTCGGCGAATTTTGGGAGTAATACATGTACAGACTTTCTGATAATAGCAGTCTGTTCGACTGCATCACTTTAACACAGTGTTTGTTATACAGGACATGATTTTTTCTAAGCAATGCTGTACTTTGTGAAAAAGGTTGCTTTCTTTGATGAATCCTCTCATCTAGTCATGCATCAAAACCCTGATAGTTACGACAGTGTCGAAAGCAGAGTTGCAAGTCTTATTCACTGCTTTCATTTGTTTGGTAATTCCCTGAAATCTGAATGGACACCCACGTTGTTTACGGGATAATGAGTGTCTATCGTTGTAATATGCCAACACGTCGATTCTCATTTTGACAGTACAAGATGAAAATTGTGCAGACATTGTACCCCATAACTTGTTCTAACGAGATCAATTGTTTGTAATGAAAGTGAGCTAAGAATTAGACAAAAAAACATTTTGTTGCGCTTATTGGCTAGGGACTGCTGATGAGGCTCAGGTTAAGGACTGGCCACATTCCGGCATGGATACTTGTTTGTGTGCACATAGAATACTAGGTCTCGAGTACCTATCCAAAAATTTTCTTTCTAACAAACGATTAACTCACACCATGTCAGCGTGTGATAACGAGAAACTGTGATGATTAGGAGTATTTGAATAATAGTACAAACTAAGAATCCCAGAAATAACGCAACTTAAACATGAAGTACTGGATGAGCACTAACGAAAGTATTGTAATTGGAGTCTGAAATCAGGCAGTCATCTAGTACAAAAAAATCATTGGTTCATAATAACACCACGAAAATTTAAACCAATAACACAACCTAACTCCTGGATACAATTACCTAGATACTTCGATAGAATTTCAAAAACATTAGTGATTACATTTCAATCAGCGTATAGTCTCGCCAACGATGTGAATTTCTTATCATCCGTCTCTTCTTAATTTGTAACTAACTATAATAGATATTCTGTTACTCACCAAATATTCGAAAACAATTAGATCTGGACACTTTTGTTTGCAAGAAGTTTCATATAAACTAATTATGGGTTATCAATAGAGTGGCCACATTGAAAATCGCGCACATCAAAATCTTTTCAACTAAACGTATAAGTAACGAAACATTCGACATCAGACAATAATTTTATGAACCTTTTGTTAGCATTTTGTGTGTTACTACAATCAAACTACGCAGAAAGTATTTGAATATATATATATACTTTGAATTTTGTCATGAAAACTAAACACTGGAAATGTATTGATCAGAGTAATTTGTTTATTGGAGTGAAAAAAAGTAGTTCAGCTTTCACATGATGTCGGCATACTATATGTTTTGAGTTCAGATGTAGTAAAGTTTTGTATCCATAGTTAATCAGTTTTCTAATATTACAGACATTGGAAACAAATTTCGTGGGTTTTTTTCTAGAAGAGGCGGTTAATAGATACTTGGTAAATATATTATACGTCTACTTACAATAGAACATAAAGTCAGGTTGTAAATATAAATTTTTTTTTCAAGTAATACAAAAATTCGAAGAACAGAGACTCATGACTCTCAATCCACTATTTCAAAAGTAATAGTGTTGCATACAAATATGCAATAATTTATATCAAAAATGAAATGAAATATAACTAAAATTTTTTGGTTGATGATATTATACATAGGTAGTTCTCATGTGATCAAAGTAATCATTGGATTTTACGAAGCACGTAAAACTAGTAGTTCTGTCAAGGGAAAATTTTTCTGCATACAATTTGAGTATCACGTGGATTTTAGTGCATAAACTGTAAAAGTTTTAAAAGTTTGGACATTATTTACCTAGAAATCAATGCGTGAACATTTTAAATATAAGTTTTATGATTCTTAGGTAGATATTTCCTTTTCAACGTCATTTTATGGTAAGAACGAACCATGTAGTTTGATAACACTTTAATCCTAGAATTGTAGTCAAATTATGTAACTATGGTCATAAAATTGATCAACTAAAAACACAAATATTTCATTTAAGAATTATTTTTTACGTGCGGTAAGCCTAATCTCTAGTCGTAGTTTACTATTATCACCAATACAGGAAGACTACGTGCCAGTTAACCGATAAGATCCCTCGTAGGCCAAATATCAGAAGGCAGTTGATGGCTGTAGTCGAGATGCATTTTTTGGCGATCTCGTGGTATCGAAAGAATACCGAGATCGTACCAAAGAAGTACAAGTGTGGTTACTGAGTGTAACCGAATCCGTGCAAGGTCAAAATCAACGAAAGAAAGAATGTCTTTAGCACAGTTATACAAACAAGTACAGTAAAACAATCACTAGTACAATTGGTTATAATAATAATTGTTTCCATTAAACCAATCGCATTCTCTTGGTAAAAGTAGGTTACTACATAACAAACCTGGTAGTTTTAAACTTATATCAGTTATTAGCTAATAGAAGAATGAAACAGTAATATATTTTTAAATAAGATACTTTGGTTTGTGTATCAACAAATATCTGGAAAAAAATCCGTTCTGAGGATATTTCTAAAGAACTATTTTTAACACGTACAACAAGTGTTTATTTTGTGTTCATCAATATTTATAATAGACAGACTAATGAAAGACAGATATGTTCACTTTTACACCCCATCCTAAACGAGTACTTTTTTTTAGATAAAATTCTAATATAGATTGTTCGAAAAGCTATCCAAATGGAGATGTAAATAACCATTATATAGATAAGATACTCATTATTGTCGATCGGATTGTTAGTAGAAAATAAATCTTAAGTCTAAACTTAAAAATCACTTTCACCTTGTAGAAAGTGTATTAATTTTCTAACATCTTGTTAAACAAAAAAAGAAGAGGCCCATCGAACGAAAAATGTGTATATAGGAAGAGATTTACCTCTGCATTATTATACACATTTCACTCTCTACAATTATTCGGACAAAATTGATTAAATGAATCGTTTGAGATATTAAATCCAGACATGGAATTATTTAAATAATTTAACCGATAGTAGACTTGTTTCATCTAAGAATGTACTGAAAACATAAATAGAGTCATCTTAGAAACAAGAATATTTTTATAGAAGGATGAATAGAAAAGCTTAAAACTCACATATCTTATTAAGTCTATTAGCAACTGTCGTTTTCTTCATTGGAGTGAAAAACTATAAATTGTTAAAAATTAATTAGGCCGTAGGTTTTTACCCTTTAACAATCTATGAAACATCGTTTTTCTTCTCTTTACAAATAAGTAATTGATTATACAAAAAAAACATAATGGAAATTGAATGTTAACCTTACTTTTTATCTACAATATGGATGATAAATATGCCTGCACATATGTATCTAAATTAATTTACCAGTGAAAAAAATATGTCCGTGAACTAGGAAAGCTACATTTTGACATATTACTTAGCAATTAATTGTAATTCATTAAAATGATGTGCAATTTTATTTCTGTTAAAGAAAATAAGATGAACGAGATAGACAATATATATAATTATATATCTGTGCACTGTTCCGTACAACTCATGTATTTGTTGACTGAATTTAACATTCAAAAGGAATATTACCATTAGACGACAGATTTAATGATGAAATTTGAATTCATGTTCTTGATGTCTATGTGCGACTGACATGCGCAATAAAACATTAAAGTGAAAATTCACTTTCTTTCTTGTTGTTGTTGAGACTATCTATAAATATATGATCAAAAGCTTTTCAATTGTATATTTATCAAATATCGGTTTATATTCAAAATCCCTCTAAATTTCATTGCATACGACTTTTAGTGAATTAATTAATTTTATTAGATTGTGATAATATATATATTCTGAATATTCTTTTATTCTTTCAAGCTTAGATCTAATTTATAAAAATGAAGGTTTTACAAATTAGAATAAATTACTTAGTTGTCTGGTGAAGTTGTGAAGGCATGGATCAGCAAAGCAAGAGCAGTTTATGCACAACTGAAGGACATCTGGAACTCAAAACAACTGTAGACTAACACCAACGTCAGAATTTTCAATAAAAATGTCAAGACAGTTCTACTGTATGGGGTGGAAACCTGGAGAAGTACGAAATCCATCATCCAGAAGATACAATTGTTTATTAATAGTTGTCTACGAAAAATACTAAGTTGGTAATGCGCTTAAAACACCAGGTGAAGAAGTATTATTGTGTTCGAGCTCACCAACTTATAGCTAGAACAACAACTATGTAACTAAAAATAGAAATGAAAATTATAAAAATTATAATTAACGATAAGGTTAATCAAAAATTTAAAGGCTTATAGGTTTGTTGATGATAAGTCTTGCAAATTGAACGCTATATTCGGTTCCTAAGCTATTCTTGTAACCGCCAAACTAGAACTATACAGCTACCTGAACATGAGAGAGGAGACGCAAAGTATGCGATAAGCACTGTACTCCGAAGGTTCATTTTAGTACATAAAATATAGGGTTTTTATAGTATTTTAAGTGTCCTTGGGTTGCCCGAAGATTCTGGAATGCTACTAAACGTAGTAGCAGTATAGCAATCAGTCAATCAGAAACTCTACATGTGACGTTTCACTTCCGTGTTTTTTGGCTAAAATTTCAAGTGAACGCTGATTGGATGAAATGTCCCTTAGTATTTATTGATCCTTGCTTGTCATTTGAGAGAAATTTTCTGGATCACCTCAACAGTTGAAAAGTCATGAATAATTTCATAAAACTGATTGAGCATCTCATGTAAATATCCATGGAAAGATATAATGTAAACTTATAATTAGATAATGTTAACTTATCATTTACTTATGTCAAAACGTTTGTTACGCTTCATTTCTTAAAAATTCGTGTTTTATTAATGTATTATCTGATCGATTTTAGGATGTACAAACTATGTTGACATTTGCAACATTGTTTGAAGAAATTTGGAGAAGAATTAAAGGTATTTCGCTTTCATTGGGACAGATTTCTTTACGATTGCATTTAAAAAAATTGATCACAATATTTATTAAAGGGTTTACAAGAGTTCTGGCATGCCAATAAATGCAAAGACCTGAGTAATACTTCATATTACCCATTGATGTTTTATTTTATTTTATTCATTTAAAGTCATCGCTATGAAATTTAAGAAAATTACACAACGGTGTTCTAAATTATAAGCAAAGATATGTGGTGGCTAGCAGTGGAATCCAGGACGGACATTTCGTCCTATTTGTGACTCGTCAGCCGGATGTTCAATTGGCCTCTAAACGCTCTGGTACGGCCGAGAGTGGGAAGAGTCCGTTCTCCCTCTCGAAATGCTCTTACATGACCACGCCTATATAGCCTCTGTCAGGGAAGTCTTACTCACTGCCTTTTCGTGGCACTACAGTTGTTTACGAAATTGAGAGGATGGAAAGCGAATGTCCGGTTCTTTAACCGTGTTGGAGGACACGGAGAGTCCACCTAGGAGAGTTGGAAAACCCTGATTCCAAACCAATGGTGCACATGAGCTCCAGGATTCTGAGGGAACAAATGGCATATAAACCAATCGTTGGTCACCGGCTACCATGAGAATGCACCTCCTTACGATGCTCCACTACCTTGTGGATCAGACCTTTGGGTCGAAGGCTTCGAGTGTGGCCCCCATAGGAAACTGCCCGCTTCAGTTTTGGCACCCTGGCAGTATCGTAGCCCTCACACAAATCAAATGAGATTTATGTGGTGCATATATATTTGTTGCCTTTTTGTACCACTATCTATGTGTTCAAATAAATAAATAATAAGATCAACTGCATTCCTAAACATTAATAGATAGATTCAAGTAAACAACACGAAGTGAATATAAACTTCACTCCATTGCACAAGTATGTGACTATCAGGACTCAGTAGTTAAATGGATAACGCAATGGCGTTTGAAGTGAATGTTAATCGGTTGCGAGTTCTGGAGTAAACATCAACTTTGGAATGCCGGTACATCCAGTTAACGAGCCCCAAATAGAAAGAAAAGTACTTCCTATATCCTACTGTTAGCCACCATCCTTTATTGCTTATAATGCTTGTGACTTAAGATAATATCAAGAAACACATATGATTTATCTTTTTATATACATTTGGAAAAAAAAACATATTTATGAAAAATAAAAGTTGATAGGGTTAAAAACATTGAAACAATTTTGTTTTTTAAGGAAAGAAAATTGATTTATTTATTTGTATGTTTATTTTTCCCTTTACATCGGTTATACCGTTACAATAGTGCATCTTTATTATATTAATTTATATGAAGTTTTATAAATATTAAGGTTAATAAATGTTTAAATAGAAAAGAAAGTTATTTGATGATAGAAACAGAAGAAAAAAGAAGAAATTTACAGGTCAATTATAATTATGAACTTTATTTTTTCAGTTATCCTGAATGAATTGAATGAATTTAACTAACTGAAACATCGGTATGCTACAAGGTATGTAATGAAACAAACATCAATCTTTACTGATAAGGAACAAAATGAATAGATGAAAAATATTCAATAGTTAATGTTAATAAATGACTACCGGTTTGTAACAAAACGTTTCTAGGATCATTTTTGTTGCATATTTACAAGACAAGGATTTGTTACGTTATGAATTGGTTGAGTTATTTTATTCTTTGTTTTGTTGTGGAATATCTGAAAGTATATATAAAGTTTGAAATTTTTATATCAAGAAAGTTTGATAAAATTAAGAAGTTGATAATCTAAACAAGAGTTATCATGAATAAAATACTGTGAAATGTTGCCTAACATTAAAATCGCTTGAAAGAATGCTAATATATGAACTATTTTGTTTTAAGAATGGTTAATGTTTGAAGACAGTGAGAAAAATATTCAAGAAAAATATGTTGGGATCAAGAATTAAAACAACTTAAAGTAGTCTAAATAAGAGAGTACAACAGTTTTGTTTTAGCAAATGATTTTTAGTTTCAGTTGAGAAAATCATGAGATTTGTAATTGTTGATGAGTTAAGTAAATAAACAAGTTCGAACACCAGCTAGTTTGTGATATATTTTGTATCAGAATGTTAAAAAATACAGAATGTATGGAGTGTTGGAAAGATGTTTTGACTGGAATATGGATTAAATTATATGGTTTAAGGTGTTTAAAAGTGAATCGTGAATGCAGTTTTATTACTCCTTACTTATTATGAAACATTTTAAAAATAGTTGATAACTCAATATTCAATAATTTTATTTATTTTCTGGGTGATTAACTATCAGCTGAATTGACAAAACTAAATTGAACTGTCGTCTAGGTCGACATCGAAATAAAAAAAGTCACAGAATCATTTAATTTTGTCAGAATAGAACTAATTATATATGTGTGTACGTAGAACTAATCGGGAGTGGAATGCTTCAGAGCAGAATATTGAGTAGATTAAAACGAAGAGAATAGAAAAAAAAATGAAAGCAATCAAAATAATAACAAAGATGAAGGATTGATGAAGTTTGTAAGAGGCGATTCACAGATGTGCGACTGATATATTTAATATATGCTTATCATATTTTGTAAAACCACTCTGTAATTTTTCAGTAAATAATGAACTGCTTATTCCTACCATGTCTTCTTTCTCTATCGTAAGAGTAGAATAGTTATCTCAGTGAGCTAAACAACTTAACAAATATTTATTTGTTTTTGTCTGAATTATTAAAAGTTATTATAGTCTGATTTTATGATGACAGGAATAGGGCTTTTTTAAAACATAGATTTCTTTCCATTTTTGAACTGTACACTTTATCTTTGTATATATATACCTACTGTATAACTATTCAGTAAGTAGATTATGTATATCTATATTCCTCTTATTATAAGCTTGATTTTTACTTATAGATTATTATTATACGATTTACTGTTCTTAAATTATGTTCAGTTTGCTGATTACAGTCTCTCACGTTCACAGTCACTTCTTGGCT